TACCTAGTCAGAATAAAGGCGGAAGTGTGTTCCAGTAGTTCGAAATATGGCATGAATCTTTGACTGTGAAGGAAATTGAATTTTCTGTCCGCCAAGATGAACTATAGATTGAAGGTCTTATGAGATGCCAAAAAAGGAATTCTTATTGTAACTCAAGATTCAAGTGTGTCTCAAATTATATAGAAACTTGTGTAAAAGATATAATCTTGTACTCATATCTCTTGCATACATCTAAATGAAAGATCAATTCATCCACAGAAATATTTGGGGATCATTTCAATACAAAGGAAAAAGGCAGACTCTTGTATTATTGTAAGTAAGTAGAGTAATCTAATCTAAACTGAATGTTCATATGATTAGACTGCATGATGCATATTTGTAAAACTAACCTTGATAATCTTTTCAAGCTTAGTTTAATATATGAATATATTATACAATGATGCAACTCACGTACAATATAAAATCTCTTCATATAGTATTGAATCAACTTATCTCATCATGTACTATAAATTAAAGTTAGTATTTTCTACTTATATTCTGATGTTATACCAAAATAAAATTAATATATAATTAAATATATATAATTATTTTAACTAATGATAATTAAAAGATGATCATCCCCCGTATATCATGCAATGATATTTTAAGTTCATCACATCAAAAATTATATTTCTATATTTGAAATTTTGAATCAAATGAAAATTTACATTCATAAAACTTTTATATGTATATGTCACTTTATATAACCAAATGCATGCTTTGAATAAAATCAATAATATATTGATATAAATGAGTGAAGAATTTAAAATCCCAAAAAATTCCATGTGATTAACTTATTTTTTCACATATTCATGTTTATCATTTACATTTCACATGTAGAACAATCAACTAAAATATAAACTTCAAACACTTTATTCTTTGCTTTTCTATGATGTACGATATGACATACAAAAATTGAAAGGTATATTGTATATAAAAATCAATTTTTTAGTAGTTATTGAACTTGATTCATATGATATTTGACAAAAGGATTTATTTGATCATTTTATAGATATTTTAAAATTTTCAATTGGTATATTGCTACTATAAATTTCAATTTGGCAATAATTCTGTCATGTTCACATCTCTTGTCTATATTTATAGTTAGAGGTCAATCTTGTCGGAGAGTATATAGTTGAAGAAACTCTAAAAGTTTTCATTTCTTTGAGTCTTTGTGCGCTGGGGTAGCATGCAGTAGTTGGCTATGGTGTTGATTGTATGTTCACTAATGAATAAAAATGAATAGTTATACTTGCACAAAGTCTATATACATAATACACATGAAAAACATAATTGAAGTGATTTGACAAATATGTGTTAGGAATTAACTCAGTTCTTGATTTAACTCTGGTAATCCTAAGCCCCATTATTCAATCCCATTGATTTGTCATTTTACAGAAAAGATCAACAAAACTCTCAATGACAATATTAAGATGTGTCTATGAGTAGGTTGAAGTGATAACCACATAATTTTCAATGTCCGCTGTGAATGTGAATCCTTGTGTCATGATATATTTGTGTGTCAGTGTCTCATCGCTGAGTTAGGATTGTGCGTAACAGTACAAAGCTTGACGTAAGTTTAATTTATAAATCAATATGATACCAAACAGGCTAAATGATCATTGAGACATATTTTATTTACTATGAAGTTAGTTAATTATGAGATATATATGTGCGATATATATTTATAAACCATATTGTGAAATAATACACTTTTTTCATCTTCACAAACAAGCATATTTGAAATCATCACTTCTCAAAGATTGATTTTCAGTTCATGATCATATTATTTAACGCAAGTTTTCTTATGAATATAAATTGCATGATAAACACGTATTCGAATTGGTACACAGATGATTAAATTTTTAGATTAAATTTAGATGATTTTTTTAAACATCAATGTATTGAATAATTATAAGCAAAGCATAATACATTCATCTTACTCTTTACAATGTGAATTTTGATTTGAAAAAATTCTTCTCATAATAACAATTTTACATGTCTGTATGTAAATGATTTGAAATAAACATGAATATTGATCATAAATGATAATGATGGTAGTGAAAAATAAAAAATATTGCACTTCTATCAATCAAGATGAATAAAAGAAGAAGTGAAAGCAGAAAATTTAAATCAAATATGTAATATTACAGTGAAAGTATCATATGACTTAAAAATAACGAGAAAATGAGAACGGTCAGCTTGTTTACAATTGTCAAAAGAGCATCCAAATAAACATCATGTATTATGATTGTTGACTTAAATATAATTAGCGTTGTATATAGAATTGCAATTAGAAAATATCTCTAAATTAAGCGAATCTAGAAAAGAATAAATGTATCCATCATGTCGTACTAGAAATTTGGTTTTGGCGCTATTTCACAGTCATTTAGCATACTTAGCTATATATAATTTCAACATTAAAATATCCCAAAAAATAAATCTGCAATTGTATGTTTTCAGACGATGAAAGCTATGATTCATATGTGAAGATGGACTCAATTCAACTAAAGACATGTCAAATGTAGGGTGAATAAGCATTGGTCTTATATAGTAACTTGCTCCTTCAGTAGTAACTTGCTCCTTGCATATCAAGTATAGATATATCAAAAACCCAATTCACTGCATAACATATCAATATATTATCTATTTAGGGTAGAAAGCCTCACGAGCCACCACAAACATCACATCCTGAAGATTTTATGGATAGTTATATCCATCTAGAGCTTAATCATATGAATATCTGTTCCAAATACAATTATCTCTCATATGTGTGAGCAATGAATCCATTTGTGGATAAATCAAGAAAAAAATATAATCTACATTGGATAATTAATTGTTGGGGATCACTCTTCTCACAAGATAAGTTTTAGTAAGTTAGGATACACTAACTCACGCTTGAATACTGAAGTAGCCTGTCCCCTGAGATATTTCTCGGTAAGGGCACTACGTTAACCAGCCTGCTCATGTGCTGCGTTTCTCTCTTTAAGAGTTTGCCCTTTTACAACATGAGGCAGTAGATTCCTTAAAAACCCTCTAATATTCATCACTTCCCTTGAGAAAACCAAAGGAAACTAAGAAATAAAAGAAGGAAGAACGAAGGCTATGTCGTGCCACCAATGTAAAGCACATTATTTTGGCTAAGATAGAATATGATTGTTCGAAAGAGGTCCAATAAATACAGATTTCATGCTTGCATGTGCGAGTTTTGATCGCAGCGAGCTGCCCGTGTCTGTGTCAATATAGGCTCGGGCAACCTGGACCTGTTTATCTCGGTCTGTTCGTTTGCTTCTCCCACGGACTGGCACTCTTCCAAGCGCACGATTGTGCTCCAAGTTGTGTAGGGATCTCAAGGTTTGCAGGTGGGCGCCTGGACTCTACTCTTCGTTGGAGGGAGTACCGCCCGACTCTGAAGCAGATGAGGATCTCTGATTTTATATGCCTAAGTCTAGACTAGGACAGGACGGTGAATCGGGTCTGTACGAGTCGAGATGTGTTTCCAGTACCTGAAGTTTCGGCTGTAGACGGTTTAAATTGGTCTTATAAATTCAGGGTGCTGGGAATTCCAGATTTTGTATTTCAGTAGATGGGAAGTCTGATGCGAAGACAATCCCCGATCGACTTGGAGTTTGGGTCAGAGAGCTCTGTCACCTCTGTTGTTGAAAATAGAACAGATTTTTTATTATGATATTGACTTGGAGCACAGACCGCCATACACTGCCGGCATAGGAGCAACTCGTCAGCACAGCGTTGTGTAACTTGTGTCAGGCTGCTGTTACCTGTTCGTCGAGAGTGCAATTCAATCCTTCCAGACTAGTAACTCTCGAGCATTGGCCTGGAGGAGCAACAACAGACATCGCAGTTATACTTTTTTTGGGTGGTTGTGGCATATCCTTCTCTGCAGTTTTACCGTCACTTTTGATCTCGGTAGTTGATTTCTTGTGTAGGTAATGTTACAACAGTCTGGAATTTTGCCCAATTGAAAATGAGGTCAACTACTAAATTGAGCTCATTTTCATCTGAAGGACTCAAAATCAGCACCCCGAAATGTACATTCAGTGAAGTGCGAAGAATTGTACTTTCCCCTGGTTTGAGGTTGTTCAGTGACGATATCGATGAGAGGACCTCGGATTGGTGTGGCAAGCACTGTAAACCCGAAAGAGGACACCGACAGCTTTGATTTCTTCCCCATCCCAGTGATAGAAATACGGAACTGACGAAGAGGCGACTGCGAATTGTTCCTAAACGTGAGCATCCTTCTGACCGAGAACGCCATATCAATCCACAAGAGATCGCCTACACAGTTCCAGACAGTCGCAGATATGTTATCAGAAATCGCAACTCAGTCTATTCACCTCAAAGCGATGACCTGGAAGAAGCTCTCTCGGAGGTGGAAAGTCAACATGACACTGAGGCTTGCAGCTGTAGCTATCTGGGTTCCAAGCTTTCCTGTGAAAAGCTGGCCCTGTTTCCTAATCTCAACATCGATTTGGGAGGCGCGGGCTTTGACAACTTTAAGTAAAAAGAAAGGGATCTGGAGGTGAGGGCAGCTTTTTCAAATCAGCCGGCTTTTCATCCGATGTTTTTTGTCCCTCCCGTTGTCGCTGTGGCAGCCGTGTGTCTATTTTTGTCAGCTCTCCAATGCACGAGACGTACAGATTATATCTTACCTGGTTTGCCTCAAATCGCCAATTTCAGCTTCCGCTGTCCTCCAGTTGTCAGTCTGTGGGCAGACTTATTATTAGCTTCCGCCCTGTGCATCAATCATTCATCTGTTAACTTGCACTTTTCCAGTCAACGTGACCCTTTACATACTCACATTACCATCTCGTTCGCCGGTCATTCAAGTACGAACTGGACTGAACTGAACTGCGGGCCGTGGTGCCAGATATAACCGTGTGGACATGTTGGACTTTCATCTATGACCATGTTCACTGATACACACAAAGATACAATGCACTGTCAGAATCAATCAGACTTCTTTGCTCTTCCGGCACTCAAAACTCACAAAGTACTCCAAGGAACGGTGTGAATACACAGACGGTATTGTTCAGTTTTCTTCTGAACCTGTAGTACATCATTCTTGACTTTGCATGGATTTTCAGTAGTCTACATGGTACCTCACTGATTGGATGTCTTCTGCACGTGAAGGACATTCACGGGCGTGGATAATTGAACTTATTCAATCAGTAAAAGCGACCACAACAACACCAGAATTATGAATTTTACTCCACCCCTTTCGTTGCCTTGACATCTCACTTGCCCTCCAGAACATCCACTTCCAATATTAAGGAGAGGGAGTTAAGGAATTTACTCCCGGGATTCCAGAGTTGGCGATCTGCAGACACTCGTCTCCGTTGCTGGATCGCATCCGTGGCGAAGGGGAGGAGGGAGGGGGAGGGATGAAGCAGATTAAGGCACATGGGGGAGTGACCGTACTTGCTCATGAGATGATTTGCAGTGTCCAGAATCAATCACTAAATAAGCCCTGACAACACGGCTACGGTACCTCGGAGAGGGACCGAGGGGAAGGGCGGACTCGTATGCTATGCCAGGCACTGGAAGGATGCCTGTCTTCCAGGCGAAGCAGAAGTAACGTGGTGGCCATGGGACATGATGAGCCATAAGTCGGAATAATCTCGGACCGGATGAGAACCCCGTCTCCACCAATGGACTCTGAAACATCAATCAAACCTCGGCCACCATCTCCCATACCTTCCCATCCCTCTCCCCCTCTCTTTCGATAGCTCTAATATCTGGCTTCCCCCATCATCGCCACCACGCCTCGCTCCCCGACTCCATCGCCAGACGAGGACGACAAACTCGTCGACGAAGATAATTGATCTCTGCAGGATGTGCAGGCGTACGTCGCTCGACTCCAGCAGCCGGCTCCCTCCGCGCGCAGAGCTGCAGAATCGCGAGGGTGGGGACCAACGTTGAATGCCGCTAGCGAGCCCGGCGACCACGAGCGCTCCTCAGATCCGATCTTAAACAAGGAACGGGCACACGGCCCAGGAGGAGCAGCCCACGCTGTGGCAGGCAGGAGCGCGGACCCGCGGATCTAGAGCGGTCTGAACTTCGAATCCGGGGGACCGCGGGGAGAATCCATGCGGAATCCTCCAGGCGCCCGCTTGCGTAACCGCAGTCTGACCGGGACCGATCTGATTCGTTTTTGGTTCTGGGACGCGAACAATAACGCTCGTTAAGTACACAAATACCGAAGAAAAAGGTTCCCCTTTGGACTCTCGATTTGACTCTTGTCAGCTCTGAAGCCTGTCGGCCGCTTTCGTTCGCTTTTCTTGCGGCTGGTGAGCGCAAGATCCAGACTTTCTTCCTCTCGTGAAGATGGACCCGACAGCTCCCCATGCCAATTAGCGTCTCGATCTAAGGCTTCAGATTCCGCTTGATGCTAGAGGTCATAAATAATTGATTTTAGATTTTCGACTCGCTGATTTCTCCACTTTTAGACCAACTCCTTCTTGATTGATGGGAGTGGAGAAATAAGCGAATTTTGGGGTTTAAGGGACCACTCGTATCACAGCGAAGACATGAGGGATGAAGGCCATGGCGACGAGTAGATCATTCGGTCTGTCAATAATTCGTTCGCTCCATCGTTTTGGAGGTTCATATGTTCCGAGGTCATACTTGAGAGGCTGTCGCCAAAGGAGAACAGAATATCATCATGTCCAGAAACCGAGATGATGTGTGGTGAGTTCAAAACGAAGACCTGGAAACAAGCACCCGCAGGGCTGCTAGGCCCCACGTACCTCGAGAGCCCGAAGATGTGGGAGCTCGGGCGTTTCTTACTTTAGTGACCGAGAGGCGGAATTCCACTGTCGAGCTTAAAGCTTGACCGTGATTGACGAGGAGAGCAGACGTCGCTGGGGCATTCCTGCGCACCTCGAACGAATACCCGCCTTCCGAAAAAGACAGCGGGAGTGCGGGACAGGTTCAACAACCTGCACACTGGAGAGTATTGATGTCCAGCAAGTGGAGGTCGTGGTCGAGGAGGGCATAGGGGAGTTCAATTCCTGCGCTTGGACGTTTGTCGACGCAGATCTTATCCAGGCTGTGAATAGATATAGGGGTCCCACGTCTTAATGGCCCAGAAATGCAAGACTGCGATTGTAGGCCACTAGCCAGTACCTACTTCGCCTTTGGGGCTGTTCCGCAAGTTATTATCCGCGAAACAACAAGCTCATCCTCCATCTTTGTGGGAGTCGGGGCATGCAGCTCGAGTACTTTCCAATACCTACTGCTCGCGAATCGGACGAAAACCATGTCTCGTGCATCGATTGCAAGTACGTTCCAAAAGCCTTCCCCTCCTCAGGACGACTGGGCTAACTCGTCGACTGCATGCAAAGCATTGGGAAGCAGAGCAAAGCAGATGAGAGCAGAGGACAGGCCGGCATGGCCATAAAAACCGTCGCTGTTCTCGGCATAAAGAATCGCATCTGCCAAGGAGCAGCCACGCAGGCATGCCAGGCGCAGGAGGGGACTGTTGCTCTCAGGATTCCGTGAGGTAGGAGCAGCTTTCTCCACTGAGGAAGAAGGACGAGCGGAATTTGAATCTCTGGGGCACACACGTCCTTCCTCCTCTGCCTGTCTGCCTGCCACTCCTCGCCCCTGGGCTTTCTCACAGGGTGATCATCCGGGGACCACGTTTGCTGCAGCAGAAAGGTTCAGAACTCTAGGACCACCGTACGACGTGAGCAGAAGGCCGAGGGAGATGAGCTAGGACGAGAAGATGGAAGGAGAAATCTGTCGAAGGAAGCCATTCACGAGCACATAGCATTCTCAAACAGGACAGCATCTTCGCCCCGGTGCACAATTGTCATCACCATGAGCATCAGGAGGAAGGAGGGGAGGAGACGAGCAGGTACCACAGCGAGGCAGCAGGGGGTAGAACCAAGGGAACTGACTTACAATTGTTCCACTTTGAAGTGGTTTCTTTAAGAACATTGAAATCGGCCGGAATCACAAATTCAGCTCCTCCGAGCTCGGAGAATCTTTTCTCACCGAACATTAGTTTCCAGACCACACTTAACATCACGAAAGATGCCATTGCTAACTGCATAAATAGCGCGTTCCTGCAATTCATGAAGCACGAGGATCGGTGACCGACCGACTGAACTGACTGACTGACTTGACTGCACTGCCTGAGACTACATAAATACAAAATTGAAGAATCCGGTGGTGGAAACAGCTCGTGGCCTTGTCCTTGCGGCCACCAGATTCAAAGCTTTTCTTCTTGGATCGTTCGTTACTGAGCAGATCTGGACAGACTGCAACTAGTGAATAAGGAATTCCTCAATGTAATGATGATTTACAAAAGTTAAGAATGTATCTCCTAGCAGATGGGAGAGATCGGACGGCAATATTGAAGCGGAAAGAGCAAACAGAGGGGCAGAGGCAAAGAAGAAAAAACTCCACAACAATCTCCAGTAGTTACAGTTGCCGGGGAGATTCGGGGGAAATCTCAGAGTCACAGGGCACCGACGAGCTGGGGCCCCTGATATGTTGAGGCCACGAGTCGATTCGGATATCCCGCGGGGCTTCGCGATCTACTGCCCGTAGTGAATTATTGGTCTCGAAAGGAGGCGAGCCGAACGACTGCATTTCCAGGTCTTCCTCGTCCAACCTGCTGCTCGCGGTCCGCTGAGAGTAAGCCTTGTTGAAAGAATAGGCCCTGGTGAGGGATTGGTTCCTCGTCAGGCTGTGCACTTTGTTGAAAGATTGAACCCTGGTGAGCGACGACACCCTCGGCAGATCCTCCACGCTCAGATGGTAGCCCCTCAATTTGCCGAACGCCGGCACGTCCACGAAATCCTTGTCCCTCTCCCGCACGGGCTCCCCGAATTCCGAGTCCGACTTGCGCGACTCGCTCTTGTGGGACGACGATCTCCTCGACGACGTCTTCTTGTTCAGCCTGGCGCTCCCGAGCACGACCTCCGTGGGCAGAATCAGCTGCCCATCGCTGTTCGGAGTGCCCAGCATCAGCGCCAGCGCGCGCTCCAGCGACGTGGTCACCTTCTCCTTCGACGGCCTGTCCTTGCCCCGCATCCTCACGCACTGCGCGGCCACCTTGGCCAGCTTGTCCAGAGCGTCGAGGTCGCGAGGATCCTCGATCCGGTTGTCGAGAATCGTTCTCGTGAGCCCAGCTTTGATCAGCGGCACGGCCCACTCCACGATGTTGCCCTGAGGTTGTAGGTGTCAAGCACGTTGTTCTCTCTTGGCAATGTGTCATTCGCAAGCTGAGATCTATTGTGACTTTCACCGTTGCAGATTCCAACAAATCGTGCCGGCCTGATAGAATACAGATCACATCCCTTTTGGCAACTTAAGTACTGTCCTTCCCACGAAACGGACAGGACTCCACGCTGCGGTAGCTGCGATCGTATACAGGTGAGCGTCACGTTACATGTCTGTTTCAGATGTCTTTTATTTGGGCTCTCTATTCCTGTGTGACACACTTGGAAGGTAACAGATTGGACAATTAGAATTCCGATTTTTTAATGGAAAATTCTTACTTCTGAAGTGATATACGGTGGCTATTTGCAGCCTCGGGACCAGACCTACGTCGACTTAGATGATGGGCGCAAACTCTGTTTGGAATGCCTGGACTCGGTAATAATGGATACGAAGGAATGCCAGCCCTTGTACTACAATGTTTTAAAGTTTTACAAACACCTGGGCATGAATATTGAGCAGGAGATTCCAATGCTTTTGGTGGAAAGACAGGCCCTAAACGCTGCCAGAGAAGGCGAAAGAGATGTACGTATGGTGAACATTCTTTAGTTTGTAGTCAGCTCATTTCCGTCATTTCAAACCTGCAATTTTGTTTAAAGTACCAAGTACTATTGCGGAGGCATGTAATGGCTCAATATCAAACGAATGATTTCCAACCCATGGATACATTCGAAGCCACTGAGTTACGTCGTGTCACCCATTTTGCAGGGACATCGTCATACTCCTGAAACAAGAGGCTTGTGTCTATCTGAAGAGCAGATTATCACCTCTGTATGTGCTTGACCCAACCTGTCTTTTTTGGATGTTGACCTATAGTGATGATAACTACCAGTTCTGCACCAGATTCTTATGTCGCATTCATTTGAAAAACAGTTCATGATAGACATATCATGACATGGAATGATGTCGAACATGTTATAGTAAGTGAATTATAAATCGCCTCTTCTCTAATCTCCAGGATACATAATTCTAGGAGATTTCTCCTGAGAGGATTATGATCTTTTACTAGAAATACCCGTCATCAGTGAGCTTCTTATATGTGGTAGGGTTGCAAGGATACGTGATGTACATCTCCAGTTACAACTGAATCTCTAGATGTCACACTGGGTGCACGTTTTGAGAACTAAGCTTACAGGCACCTGGTTTCTAGCTGGCCCTGTCTTACAGAGGGTAAATTTGTAAGTTAAAAAGTAAGGCCACTGAGTGTCTTCCGATCGAGTATCTGAAGGTTGGCTTCAAACTTGATTCTCTGCAGGTTTACAGAAAGCCATCTAAAGTTAGAGGGACCAAACCTTTTATGGTGCGAACAGAATCGCAGAAATTGATGCGACATTGTGAAGTCACCGCGATTCTTGTTCTCTACGGCCTTCCCCGGTAAACACATTGCCATCTGAACGTTATATTTCTTGGCTGTGCAATCTTTAACGCAGGCGTAGTTTGTAGAGGAATTTCGACGTTTAGATCGTTGTAATTCTATATGTCCATGCGATCCTGTGTGACCTTTCCAACACCTTTTACGAGAAGACTTCGTCATGAGATTTAGCTCAATTCTGGAAATGAGCAGATTCTCAGAAACCTGTGCAAAATGCCACCGCTGAAACCAAGAACGAAATTCGTGGAAATTCTAAGCCATGTACATATCATATAGATCAAAATAGAAAATGCTTCAGATGCGTGTGGAACAGGCCCTGAGATATTCTCCTAAGCTGTGAATGCTGAAGAATCGTTTGGGTGAATGAAAACAAGATTCGGTAGACCATGTTGTGCATACCTTCCTTCTATGCAACCTCCTCATTCATCTATCAGCTGCAGGCATATGTAGATCTCTGAAGGGTCTCCTGACTTATCTTCGATTACTTGTCTTGTTTTAGATTTACTTCCACCCTTTCATCACTTCGGCAGGCAGACATGTTGGATAACCTCGTTTTTCGTGAGTCTGACAGTATTACATTATTGTTTTGTCAGGTTGCTCACGGGTTCAATTCTTGCACATGAGTTGATGCATGCATGGTTGCGGCTCGATGGTAACGTCCCCTTCTCTTCACCTTGGCCATGTTTGACCATTCTGTACTTGCGAAGACATTATAGTCCCAACTGTCTGAATTAGTTCAGATTTTGGTTAACTTTAGAAATCCACGGAGCTCTTGGATGATCGTTCAGACGTTGATCCTCAAATTCATCACTCTTAAACGGCTGCAGGACGTTTCCCGACCCTTGCAAGTGAGGTTGAAGAGGGCATCTGTCAAGTCATGGCGCATATGTGGCTGCTTGCTCAAACAGGCTTTTCTAGTTCTTCCACTTCAGATGACCTGAAGAGGGGAAACCAGGTCGACCAGCTCCGACTTGGGGAGTTTTTTAGGCACCAGATCGCACATGATCCATCTCCAGTATACGGAGGGGGTTTCAGGGCGGGCCAGATTGCTGTTGGACGTTATGGTCTTCCACAGACTCTTGAGCACATGAAGATGACCGGTACGTTTCCTCTCTGAAAGTGATATCAGCTGACAACAGGTGCTACAGTGGCCTATGCTGCAAGTGTCGACACGATCGAGAAGTCTTGGCGTTGTACTACATTTGACACTTCAACGAGCACTGCACCGAGCTGTATATTCGCATTTCTCGGGCACTTGGCGAACACTACCACTTGTAGTCAAATGATTCTACATTTATCAAAGTAAGCTTCGAAGTTTCCAATCTTAAACACAATCAATCAATCCAGATATTTCCACCGGACTCCCGGACTGGTGGTACCCTCAAATAAAAATCAGGGGACCTCCTGGTCAGCCGCCCTAAGGTGAGCTGGCCACATCAGTTTTATTGTAACTGCCTAATGTACATACTTCTCAATTGAAGCCCGACTTTCCCTCAACAGACGTTGAGGGACACGGGAAAGATGTGAGAATTAGTATAGTAATAATATATAAAAATATATGTATATGTCGTCTCCATCACTGAAGACTGTAGTAGTACGAAAAAGGACATCATAGAAATTAGTATTTACAAATAACATCTTGGTGGCCGGAAATTGGTTCAGAAGTGTACCTTGCTGAAGATTTGTATGTGTGAAAATCCCTGCATTGTAGGTAGTAGACGTCAGGAAGATCCTCGGTTCTGCCAGGCCCTCTGGTTCACACATTTCTAAACGAACTGAAAACGAAATCGACAAATCTTTTCAGCTGTTGAACTGAATGCGAATGCTCTCTCTTGATACAGTCGAAGAGATTGATCTTACAGTAGTGAAGTGTCTTTTGGAAATTGTGTTTAATTACCGACGGTTTTCAATCATGACCAACAAAGTGTAGATCAAAGCGTTAACTTTTTTTAATTTTGATAACAGTCAACGCTTTTAACTGCTCTGCTTGCTGGGTTATATCAGCATCAGGTGATATAAAGAAAAATACTATTTAATAATGCTTTGTCAAAGCCAATTATTTCCAACATACTTTCTAATCAAATTCCTAATTACTGATCATACTCATCTTTGCAACTAGAGTGGTTGGGTATAATAAACATTTGAAGATTATTATAGCACATACTTGACAATTCTAACATCATCAATTGAGATAAAATCGCAATACTTCATTTGAATTGCTTACACTTTGTGAGAGGTTGTTATATTCTAATAGATAATTGGCAATGCTAACATCATCAACATGGTCATCGTCATTAATATAAAAAACATTCATTTCAATTAAATCTTTAGCAATTTGTTCAATACTTACCTCATCAAGATCTAAATAGGTTGAGAAAGAAGCGAGTCAAATTTATAACAAAGGTTTTTTTAAATCATCAAAGGCTTGACTTAAACTAGGAGCAAGTTTTTTGATATTTTGATTAAAAATCTCATTAGAAACGATATGTTTTGAAAAAAATATCTTCAAATGTTGATTATACCCAACCACTCTTGTTGCAAAGATGAGTATAATCAGTAATTAGGAATTTGATTAGAAAGTATGTTGGAAATAATTGGCTCACACTTTGTAGGAAGGTGTGATATTCTACACCTTCCTACAAAGTGTGAGCAATTAAGATGAAGATTGTATTATTGCGATCTTACCTCAATTATCACTCAAGCAAGTGAATCGGGCAATCATTCCTTGGTTCAACTATTTTTCTATTGAGCCATCTTTATCAAGACAATTTACAATAACTTGTTTGATAATCTTCAAAGTGCTCGTTGTTCGTTGATAGATCATCAAAAATTTGAGATAGTTGATTCCTTGAAACAATTGACAATACAATATGTAGCAAAATCTATCTTTACTGCAGTTGAAAAAGAAAGACCGTTTAAAACATTTAAGAATTTTTGCTCGTGTCATTCGGACAAGCAGAACAACAATTGTCTAGGTAAAGGTTGACTGATTGAACGATTTGAGGATTTTTGCGCATGACAATCAAACAACAAGGAGAATGAATGTCTAGAAAAAGAAGTATAAAAGTTCAATAACAAAATATTTTGATATATCACATTGAGACATTGGGCACTTTATGCAACAGCGGATAACTCAAGGCAGATTCAAAAATAATATTTCATCTGTAAGAATTATTTTGCTCAACAAAATCTTATTCTAAATATAGGCAAATTGAGTATAATTGGAAAGCTGACGTAATTAAGACATTGGCAAACCTCACGTGAGATAATTAATGAGAAGAAAGGAGAAAAGTGGCACAAACTTTAGTTTTTTTACAGAGATGGCTACAAAACAGGCTAGAGGATCTGGTTATGAAATCATGAGGTTTGATAGACGCGAAGATTTCATGCTTTGGGAAAGACATGTAAAGGGTAAGTTGAAGATCATGGAACTTGATATGATGTTGAGAGAAAAACCATATAACTTAAGCGACATCAAACAAAAGGATCTGTAGGAACAAGAAGTATACATCTTTCTAGTATATCTACAACCTATAGTTTTAAAATGTGTGGGCGAGAATGACGAGATAAAGGATAACTGTTTGAGGCTCTAAATTTCATCACATATAATTGTTGAATAATTTGTACACCCACTTGAAGCTGATAAACTTCAAGATGAAAGATTCTCGTACAAAGATCCAAGGTCACATTGGCGCTTTTGGTGATCTTATGATTGATCCTCAAAATCTTGGCAAGGAGATTATAGATGAGATGAAGTCTTTTCAGCTCGTCAAATTTGTTGACGACATTGTATCATATGTTATCACGTTTTTTGCTTCATCTTGATTGTAATAACCCACCAAAGGCTAAAACTGCAGTATAGCAGCAGAAAGGTCGAACCCACAGGGACAGAGGCAACACACAGAGTACTAAATGTCACGTTTAACAGACTATTGAAGAGTTTGAATTCTCAGGCGACTGTCACCACCAGAAATACTGCAAGTGCTCAACTCGGAGGACGCACAGTGCAGCGTAGTTCACCCCAACACACACCTGAAACTGGAAAAGCACAACTAAGAGGTCGATTAGGACCTCCGCTCAAGGTTCAGGGGGAAAGTTTCTCATAAGTACATTCAGAGGATCTGCAGGTAGTGTTCCCCAACTCCGGATTGTTAACTCCGACGGCTAGAATAGAGCACCCGGGTTGGACTTTCTACTTCGGATGCGGTACCTTCGTCAAACTGAAGTCACTCACACGCGGTGAACAACACACTAAACTCACAAAACGCGCAGAGAATACAGGTCTGAACTGAGAAACTCAACTAAGAAAAGATCCAGTGTCACACCATAACAGTCTATTGACGAGTTTGACACTAGTCATTCCCAGAAATATTGCAGAGGCTAGCCCCGAGGGCGTCTTCTACATCGTAACCTGAATTTACAACCAAGGCTTACTCTAAGTAACAAAACTTCACTTTGCCATTCAAGGGAAAAATCCCGAAGGAGTACAAACAGGAACAATCACCCGAAGGTGTAAGATCGAACTACTCAAGTGTCTAACCAGTCCGCTAGCTCTGAGCATTCAGCAATCACCCGCAGGTGTAGGTCCCAACTGCTCAAGTATCTAACCAGCACACTAGCTCTGAGTATTCGGCCGAAGACCATCAGCTACAAAATGCGGTAACTTTGTCAAGCTGTATGTAACCATCTTTAGTTAGTTAGAACTAAAGTAGAGGTTACTCTGAATATTGATGTAGATACTTTATTGTGCACTAATCACAGCTGTCACGTCAGCGATCCGCGCACTTGGTAGGTACAGAGTGGATGTGTTAGTTGACAGTGACACGTCAGCAATCCGTGTGCTTGTAGGTAAGGATTGAGTGTGTTAGTTAGTGTGTTAGTTGGGTGCGCCACGTCAGCGATCCGTGTGCTTGTTAGGATTATCCGCCACGTCATTCATCCACTAGGAGTGGGATGGATGGTGGAGATTAGATCTTATCACCTTGTACTTGTTGGTGAGAGCTATATAGGGGAGAGGAGAACCATTGTTGGTATTTCTCATCTTCAGAGTTTACGTTTCTATCTTCGAGTGAACTTCTCTCTAAACCCTAGTGTTACAATGGTATCAGAGCGATCTTGCTCTTTCCTTGAGTGTGGATTATCCCTCATGGAATAGCAAGTGAGTGATGATAGAGTGTAGTCTTGAGAGTGTATAGAGGCTGGCAGAGCTCATTCATCTGCATGTAGAGAGAGGTGGAAGGGGGAAATTGTGTTTTTGCAGATATGGACGGGATTGACAGGAATCCAGTACCGCACTGGCCAATTCCTAACCTATTCGATATTCACCTTCGTTGCATGGAGAAACATCATTTTTGGATGTACCTTGTGGCTTGTTGGGGTGCAGATTTTATGACTAGAGTGATGGAGTCAAGAGTGCCACTGATTCTTCCAATAGTTACTTATGGAGAGACTTGGGATTGTACTATATACATTCTATACTGATTGTTTCATGGATTTGAATCGCGAACCACCTGTCCCGGTTTGATTCAGCACTTATGTAGAGATTAGAACAGTATATAGACAGAAGAGGATATGGAGAGATTTTCTTGTGAGGAATTATGGAGAGGAGTACTATAGAGCTGTGATAGAGTCATCTGCACCTTTTGTGACTCCTTTGTTGAGAGGTCACATAGTGATTATACTCACTTTTTATTAGAGGGAGTGTGAGAAAGCATGGGAACATCAATTGATATGGGTGAGGTTCTCAATGCAATCATGGCGGAGATGAAGGAGTTGAGAAAAGCGATAGTAGATGGGCATACCAAGCAGCAAGCCATGGAAGATAAAATTTTCGCATTAGAGAGTGAGAAAGTAGAGAGAGAGAGAGTTGGAGAGATGGAAGTTGAACCTCAAGTTCAAGCTTCCCAAGTTTAGCCAGAACCAACTCCTATTGATGCAGCAGAGGCAAATAGGAGACGTCTTCAAGAGATTGAAGATCAAGCAAATCTTTTGCTTCGAATGGGAAAATCCTGTAATGTAGAGTAATGGGAGTGTTAGAGGGATGGATTATGAGGATGAATATTCATTTATCCCATTTTCATGTTTCTGATTATATTGCAGGAATGTTCATGATATCTTATCTTACGGATAAGGCTCTCACATGGTACATAACATGGGAGAGAATGCTTTCAGAACGAGGTGCTATCATTTTGTGGAGTGGAATGCAGGAAGGACTTCTGCAAAATTTTCAAGCGGTGGATTCTTTTCAAACTGCAAGAATGAAGTTGTGGGATCTGAAGCAAAAAAGAGGTATTCATGAGTACATTGAAGAATTTCGTGATCTTCAAGTATCTATCATGGATATGAGTGGAGCTGAAGCATTGGACGTGTTCAAACGAGGCTTGAAAGATCGAATTCGAAAGGAGGTGATGGTAAGCAATCCATCTACTGTGAATGAAGCAATCGCAATTGCTCAACGAATTTCGGGTGCTTTTGGTGTCACACACGGTGAACCAGTGAGCAATTTTAGAGATCCATCTGATCCAACACCGATGGAGTTGGGAAACCTTCGACGTAGAGAAGGTTTTGCACAACAAGAGGACCACCACCAAGATTTGGAGGTGAGATTAGGCGACCAGGAGTTCCAAATTTGCAAGAAGGTTATGCAAATAATGGAATGGTTTGAGGAGGAGCTGGAGTTCGTGACAATCGCCAATGCTATGCATGTGGACGAATGGGTCACATAGCCAAGTTTTGTCGAGTTCGGCCGACACAACAAGGAGGACGGCCCATGCAGCGACGACCGTTCAACAATATGGAGGGGATAGAGTATGAAG